GGTAAAAATAAATCGCCCAATCGTACCCTCCGACGGAAAACACGTCGGAAGCTATGTACTTCCCAATCCCGATCCCCTTCGAGAGCGAGTACCCCGTGATCTTGAACTGGTGCGACCCCCTCACCGTCTCCGTCACCGACGTCGACGACGTGGTCGCCGGAGCCGAGGAGGGATACGCCGATGAGGAATTGGCCGACGGCTTCGCGAGCTCCCGGAGAATCTTACCCATGAGCCAGCCACCGTAGCGCAATCGACGATGCGTTGAATTGGAACGACGGAGGGAGGGATTGGGAATTGGGGAAGTCGAGTCGATGCGCGAAATTGGGGAGGGGATTGGAGTGTGGTTTTGGAAAGTGAGGGTTTGATGAGAGAGGATATAGGTTTGGTTGGGGAAACTTGTCAGATTCTGGAAGATGGGGAATTTCTAGGGTTTGGATTCAGAGAGAAGAAGGGAACTGCAGAAGAGAAGAAAAAGAAAAGGTTGCGAAGAAGCAAATGAGTTGTAATAATATAACTTGGCTTTGTCTTTAAATTATTTTATTTATTTTTTGGGAGAATGAGTATTGAATAAATGATGAGACGCGCAACTACCTCTCTTGATCCGCTCGCTTTCCTTTGGAAACACGTGTGGGTGAAACTGTAATAAAAAGTTACGACACCGCTGAAGGTGGAGGCACTGGGTCGTCTCTTTCTTCTTCTACCATTTACCAAGAAAGTTTTATCAAGAGCCTCAACAAAGAAAAAGAAGAAGAAAGCAGATAAACCTACATGCTACAACAAGTTTCTTACATTACTAATTATAGGAGCTATTCTTTGCTTTGATTAATGTTATTCAAATTACTTTCTTAATTCCCTCTATCAAAATATTGGATTAAGTTATTTGTTTTTTCTTAATGAGTCGGTTTAAATTTTTAATTGAAACAGACAAAAAATCAGTCGTTAGTATTAAATTGCATGAATATATTTAGAATTCAAGTTCGTTTTATTTGTACACTTACTTTATATGTTGATAATTTGTTTTAAACAGTACCAACTTCATCAAAATTGGGAGTTAAGTTATTAGTTGAACAGTTGAATTATATGAATCTACGTGTATAAAATAAATAATATTGAATTCAAGTTTGTTATGCCGATAGATTTACTATATATGAGATTTGTTATAATCAGTATTATAATCATTAACTCCATCAAAATAATAACTCATAATTAAATAAGTGAATTATTTGTTGAAACAATTAACATGTGTATATTAAATTCATAAGTTTTATACTAACGATATTATATATATATATATATATATAACTTGAATTTTTCACTTGTAAACTAAAAAGTAATTTGGATGTAGTGGTTATGTTTATTTTAGTTTTTCAAATAAAAATTTATTTTAATCTTCTTATGACGTCTTCTATTTTATATATCATAACACATAATATAATATTAAACTAAAATATTTCAATATAATAAATAAATTTAAAATTCACATAGGTAAAAAAGCTCACATTATTAACATAAATTAGACTTAGTGAAAATGACAATTTACAAAACAAAATCAACTATTTAATTTAAATACGTAAATCAAATCTTAATTAATTTCTGGTGTCACATGTACTATTAGAGCAACACCCAACATTATGGACTAGGTTTCGTCACCAACATTCTCAATACCATGTTGATGATCACCTACAACAGTCACAAAAAAAAATACAAAAGAAAAGGAAGTGAGAAACATTTTATTATAACTCACGGTATATAAATGCAAAGTGACTAGTCAAACACAAACAACACATATGATAAGATATAACATTCTCAATTGCACATTATTATCATACTTAATTCATTCACAATATAACAGACAATAACATATGTGATTATAATGCACATGTAATAGACATGGACTATATATTACCATGTACGTGACATAATAAAAGCATCAGACTTATGTATTGTCGCTAGTAACATGCTAAAGAAGTCTAGAAGTACATATGATGTCACACCTTTTGCGCAATCTCATTATAAGGATATATTACCATGGTATGGTCGGGATAGTTTAGTCGGGCAAGATACATCCCGTGCTCATAAGGGCAAAACTAAGACTTTTTTAAACCAAGTTATTTCCAAGGTTGATTCACAAGCCTTTATACAATGGGCCTTTCCTATTAGTGTATTTCATACCCTTTCAAAAATATTTTTATACATAAGACGCATGTTAATCAAACTCAATGCATTATATTCACATGACCTTGTAGTTTCGCATATCACATGTTTCTCATATCAGATTACTCATCATTCATAGTCATACATTCATATATAAAAAACATAGCCTATCTATATCAGTGGCACAACACATAATTACAATGATGGGATTTAACAAAAGTATAATAGAGAATTCGCAAGTAGGACGACGACTAACATCACACATCCCATGCTTGATACGATATCTTTAGAGGATCACGTTGGTCTTTATCTAGATTGCGCTCGACCTGATCGAGTCCACGCCCAACGATAATACCATTAAGAGTTTTCTAGAGTGTTCATGCTTGGCAAGAGTTAGCTCACACTTGACAGAAGCAACATAAGGAACCCTAGAGTTTTTGCATCTAACGAGGGCATCTCACGCTCAACATGAGGGACTTTGAGAGCAAACTTTGTTCTTAACGACGTATAAGAACAACACACATAGCAAAAAACATAGAATGTGTGTTAGCTCATAACAAATGAAATGTTGGGGTAGTGTGTGTCATGAACTTCAAGAAATTGTTGTCCAAGTTGTTGGTTCAAAGTTAGTTCTATTCAATTTTTCAAATGAGTGGATAACATCAGCGTGAGTTAAATGCAAATCCAATTTAAAAATGTAACTAAACAAATTACAAATTTAATTTCTAGACAAATAAATTCGATTGAATTTCATTCTTATGTGAATTTTAATGATTTTTTTTTTATGTAATGGTGGGTAAAAGATCAAGAGGGAATTTATAAACTATTTTAGTTTCAACTCCAAAGTAACATGAGATTTTTTTTTGTATTAAAAAATATATTTATAATTGAAGTTATAAGTATGTGATTAACTTCTTATTAGTATTTTAACCCCAATTTCGTTACATTAATAAGTATAATATATTTGAGATATTATTTATTTTTGTGTAAAATGATGTCTTAATAAGATAAAAAAATTGTTTATAAACTATAATTAGTCTTGAATATTCTTAAATAATAGGAAACTTTTTTTAATTATTAAAACATAATCAATTAACTTATGTGAATTAACATAACTAGTCCGAGTTAATAATTAAATAACATGTCATTCAACCGGTAAAAGTTATATTGAACATATTATTTTTTTATTCTCTTTCATTTTTTATCCTCATTAGTTTACTTTTGATTTCTTGTACTTTTTGTAATTTAAAAATTATTTTATATAAATTTTATTCTCCTATTTTCATTATCAAATAAATACATACGTTATTTTATATTAGTCAACTATATTATTAGTAAATATTGTCAAATAGTTTGATTTAATTAGTTAACTTGTAAATTTTAATTTTTCAACACCAAGCTTATAACTTATAAACTTTTGGTTAATTTATAATTTTTTAACTAGCCTATAAACTAATTTTACTAAATATACCCTAATTAAAAATTAAATTATATTTTAATATCCTAAAAATACAGTAGTGTATTTATTATAGTTTTTTAAGCACAAAATTTGTTAAAAACTAATATATTATTTACTATATTTTGATATTGTTATATTCTCAATCCACATTAATATATTAAATGTGAGTATTTATATTTTAAAATAAAGTATTTACTTATATTTTTCTAAGTCACCAAACCGACCACAAGCTAATTTTCACAAATAAAAGTAAATAATATATATTAATATATGTTGTGAACATGAAGCCGACGACAAGCTACTTTTGTCTTTCGTGGGTTCCGAACGTTGACTCTCACGCTCCTGCATACCATTGGTTGTTTATTCCGTTTCGGAAGTTTCTGGATTAAACAGGTGGATTTTTTTTTTTTTGGAGTTGATGGATCACAATAAAACCTAATAATTTATGTGTTTGGGGTTTTGTGGAAAATAATTGGGATTTGAGGTGCGGGAAGGGATAAGTGTATGGGGGCGTGACCCAGGGCACGAAAGGAGGAAACTTTGGCTACAGAAGGTTGTTTCTTTAGCCGGGTTTCTTTCAAAAATGGTGCAGAGTCTGTGTTTGATGGCTTCTCATGGTTACCCTCCTGGCCTTGTCTTACACCCCCAACTGGGCTTGGCCGGCACCAATATCAAGGTAACATCAACAAGTTGAGATTTTGCTGGTTTTAGCAATGTTAACGAATGGAATTGTGTTATGCTGTGAATCGGGTTTATTAATATTAAGAATTAGCAAAGGGGTTGTGACAAAGTAACCTTGGTATGATCACTCAATGGAGGGTTGGGAGGGGAATGGGGTAATTTTTTCACTTTTGGTAAATATTCTTTAATTTATTTACATTTGTATATTTTATTATGAAAGGAATTGTGTAAGAGATTATCATGTTACTTTTTCTTCATAATTCATCAAGGCTATCTTCGGAGGAGGGGAAGTTAATTTTTCTTTTCTTAATTTAGCGAAGAGTAAAACGTTTGAGTGAATGCATTGTGATGATTTGAAGGTTACACGATAATCTATCATTTCTAGGGGATGTTCACCTATAATACTATAAAAATTCCCCTCCAAAACTCTTCATCCTAACCTGTTTTCAGTGTGAAGAATTAACCTAAAATGGATCACAATTAAACTCATAGTAATACCCTCCATGTATTTGTTTGCCCCCCACCCCAAATTTTGAACTCATGGCATGTTTACATGGTTATAAATTCTAATACTTCTTGCCTGCATGTTACTTATGAATTATGATACTTTTTTTTCCAAGACAGGGCTATAAAACATCCTTTCCTTCTACAGTAGCAAAATCAGAGCTGATCAGATATCAGTCTCCTTGTCTTAAGCCAGGACTGTGTGAGGATTTGAGGAAATCCGAAAATGAATCGGTTGATTATAATAATAAGTTTTTCAATGTTGACTTCTCAGTTCAAAGACCCATGCTTATGGATGACCAAGGTATGCTTGATCAAACCATTTTGTAGTCAACTTTCTCTATGATGTTAGATAATTGTTTGATCATTGCCATGTACCGGTAGTAGTGTAGAACATGTGATGTGAAAAATTCTAGTAAGAGTACTCCCCCTATTTTTACATGATTCTATCTCATTTTCTCATAGACTAGTCATGTGGAAATATACCACATTTGACTAGGCTAGCTAAAGTACTTAAATTCTATTTGATGTAATGATCCTGCAAATACATTTTAAATTTCAGCATTCTCTGATTGCTTCTATTCTTCATGACTTCCAAATTTCATTGCATCTCTCATCATACCACTGGGGATGGTTCGCTTTTGTTTGTTGATTCTTCATCTTTCGTTCACATGTTAAAGTGATAATAAAAACCTTGGGAGAACCACACCACAAAAGCTAGCTGCTGTAGTTGGAGAGCCCAAGGCCATATAAAGTATAAACTAGAATCCCATACTTGCAACTTGGGACCCAAGTTCCATACCAGGCAATTGAATCCTAACATTCCATCACACTTTGCAGCCCCGGGGCATAAGCAACTTGCTGTGCAGTAGCCCTTTGATTAGTCTTGAGTGAACACTACAATGCTGGTGTCATTACTTGCACCACTTGTTGTAGTTGAGAGACATAGTGGAAGGAACAATGGGAAAACCACATCACAAAACTAGCTGTTGTAATTGAAGAGTCCAAGGCCTTATTAACTCCACACTAGAATCCCATACTTCCAATGTGGGACTGAATCTTGCAGTTGGATCCTAATAAGTGGCAGACTGGCAAGATGTTTTGTATTACTAACCTGCCTAATTAGTATAAAAACCAGAAAGCATACTACAAAAATTTGGTTGACATATTTTCTTCTGCCTGCATTTACTGTTGAGATGAGTGCTTGAGATGATTTATGCTGCTAAATCCTTTGTGCTGCTTTTACATTATGTGTCTTATTCTGACTTCTGAATAACATTATTTGTCTTTGGTTGCAGCAAAGTTCTCAAATGCAGTACTTTTTGGCTTTGGCATTGTTGAACAATGCACTAAGCGTGATAAAATTTTAAATCTCCTAATGTCCGAGACTGCTGAAGCAGGGATAGATGGAGCAAATTTATCCTTGTTATCGGATTTGATGAAATTGCAGTTGTCAGGCATTAATGAACCTCAGCAACCATTGTCATCTCTTATCTACCCAACTGGCAAATTCAACATCCAGAAGCCTTTGCTGCATTTTGTTCAAGATTCAGCCCTTTCTTCAAAGATCATGGTTCATCCAGATGGTCAAATCACATTTATGGGTACTGCAATTGAGTTGAAAGACCTTCTCTCTGTTGTTGCCGAGTCATATTTGTCAAAATGCTCACATAAGTTTGGAAAGCAATCTATGCTTGTTCCACACTTCAGTAGGTATAAATATGTTGACCATCGTTACCTTTTTAAACTTTAACCAATTAAGTGTAATTCTGACTGTCCAGACATCATAAGGACTATTTTATTTACTTAAAAATTCTTTTTTATTTTTATTTTTATTTTTTTATAGTTGATAAATAATTTTCTTTGAAAATTATGTTGATCCTTGGATTAGCATCTACTATTCTGGATCAACTAGATTTTCAAAGGTCAAATCTTGAACATGGCATTTGTTGGGAGGGCATCCTAGTTAGTAACTACTCGAATTGTCACTGGCAGCAGCTCCTAATGGTTTATAATCTCATAGCAATGCGTTGTGGGGATTCCCTGTCTTTGACCATAGAAAATATGAACACATGTGTGGTAATTAATGTAAGTTAGTTTAGATGAATTGTTTGACATGTATTTGCATAGTGTTTCCTTGCTTCAAATGATTTTTTAATTATTGTATTATCATTATGTTCTTCAGTAATAAATACGACCTTTCATTTTCTATTCTTCAAATTTAACTGTCTATTATTTGTATCCTTTGTATCAAGGAACTGACTTTTGCTGAGACTCCATATTTACAGGGTGAATATCAATGAAGTAGAGATAAGCCATTCCTCCACACTGAAGATTCAATCTGCCTTAACTGCTCCTTTAAGGAGGTATGCAGAATACACTTTCCAATACCCTTTTTTAGTATTTATTTCACTGAGCATTGGACTGTTTCTATGGTGTGAATTTTTTAAGTTAGTTTAAAAAATCAAACTTTTGTATGTGCCACAGTAGGGTTGAGACCAAGTATCCTTTCTCCTTTCTCCTTTCTCCCATAAGAAAGAAAACTGCAACAAGAATGTGGGTTGCAATAGTAAATCTTAGGTGCTTCTTGAAACCAGAGACATAATTAGGTTGCTTTATTGCCAACATCTATACTTGTGGTTCAAACATAAGTTTTTGTTCCTGTAATCAAACAAAATCCTATGCTAGACGAAAAATGTTCTATTATATATTTGTATTTTGGAAAAAAAAATTATTTGGTACGTTTGTATTTAGGCATAATTTGTGTTTGAGAAAGAATAAAAATGTGTTTTTCAAAGTTTTATGCAGAAAATAATGGGAAAAAAACATAGTTAATGAAAACAGTTTGAGCACTAAAACTCATTTTCAATGAGAAATCAAACACAATAATTATGATATTTTATTTTCCAAGATTTTTTTAATTGAAGTTATTTTTTATGGAACAAATTTTAGTGGTAAATTTTTCTCTGGAAGTTACTTTTTATTCAATAAATTTGGACAATCATTCTATTCTTTGTAAAACTTGTGGAGCAGATTAAACATATGCATCACTATTTTGCTGTTTATTTTATCCACATTTGAGAATATGAGAATAGTCCATCTAAATGATTTTTTGACTACCTGCCTTACGAGAAAGGGTTATATTCTATGGTTTCTTTTAATATTGACATTATACATGGGTGTGGATAAATGTGATCATGTTCAATTATTATTTGCCTTTATTTAAGTTGGACTGTATCTGCCCAGTTTGTGAATAGCCTCATCTACTGAATATGCACTGGTTATAGTAATTTTTTCTTGCTCAAAAAAAAAAAATAAGATTAATGCTTCTCTCTTGTCTAGCAGTCCTGAGAAAGTCAAAATCAAGCCATCACCAAGAAAGAACAAGAAAGCAGGCAGGGAGAGGAATCTCTACAAGAACTATTCACATGCTTGTGAGATCCTTCTGTCCCTGATGGTTGACAAGAAGCAACGTCGGAAAACGGTAATTCTCTCACTGAAGAAATCTGGCCCCGAGCTTCCTGAGCTCCTGACACAAGTTTCTGCTGGCATTGCTGGTACCGGCCTAGCGGTCCTGCTATCTGTAATCTGTAACCTAGCTTGTGGAAGGTCTACCATTTGTGCTTCTGCCTTTTTCAATACTGGGTTTGGATTTGGGATGGTTTGGCTTTCTGGGGCAGTACATAAGCTAAGGGCCACAATTGTCAGCTTGAGCAAGAATGCAGGAAAGTTGGCTTTGAAAGAAGAGGAAATGATGCAGAAGCTGGATAAGAGCATAAGAGATATTTACTATACTGCTGCAGCATTGTTAGCAGTAGTGGTGCTAAGGCTTGCTTGAGTAACATCTCCAAAGATGTAGTTTGATCATTGATGAACTGTATATGCTATATGGCTAATTGGGTAAATGCTCAGTTATTTCTGGTTGGTTGATGTCTACAGTGATGGCTTTTGGTGAAGCAAATAGCAAAGCAGACAGTAAGAACAAAGGTTAGAAATAGTTCCACAATGAGATCTTCACGCCCAAAGTTGATAAACAAAGGTTTGGCTGTTAGTAATTTCCTACTAGCATTTAACCCAGGAAGCATTGTTTAGTACCGTAGCTTGTAATATAGAATTTTGCAATGGAATTAATAAACTGACTTTCTTTATTATTTCATTGTTAAAATTAATATGCTGTTGTCTGTCGAATTAAGTACTTAGGTTGTTTAAAGGTAAAAAAATTATGTAATTTGATTTTTGACATCATGTTATTTACAAACCAAATCACTTGTCTTTGTTCATTTTGAGTTAATTTTATCTTAATCATAAGATAAAGAGAAAAAGAGAAGATAAAAGTGAAAAATAAAAGGGAAAGAATTTGTTCTTTACCTCATGTATGACATTGACGGCCTACCACTTGGAGGCATGGCCTTCAGTTTGTTTTTGTCACCATTCCGCAAATATTTAACGATTTTGGCATGCAAAGGATAAAGTTGAAGGGGTAAAAGTAATTACATGATTAATTATCAAGTAAACATTTTTAAATAGGTATGTTAGGGATGTAGTTGAATTAAGTTTTCACCTTTCACAGGTTGATTCGGTAAGATTTGTGATCAAATTTAACTTTCATTGTGTATAATTAAACTATCCAAACTTTTTTTTTTTTTTTTTTTATCTAGTCTAGTGGTTGAGGAAAGGGATTGAGGTAAATGTATCCGTTCTTGCTGTTTCTATATTCTTTTCTTTAGATATAAAAAAACAAATTATTCAAATTAATTTCTTAACGAGAACCTATACTAAATAAGCTTACGGTCTTAAGGTATCTCACATCGAAAATGATTAAAATAATAAAATCATAAAAACATGTCACATTTTATGGATATTCAAACTAGATCAAGTAAAAATACTTTAATTGTTAAAATAATGATACAATATTATATTAAATATTAATATTTTTATTACAAATAATATTATTTATAAACATGTCTGTCTGTCTTAAAAGCCCATAATTCTGGCCTACTTTAAAAGCTTTTTTTTTATTTATTTAAAAGTAGGCCTAACATTTTACTGATAGGTCAAGTTAGGTTTTAAATATATTAGGTCAAAACAAATCTTAAGGGACCATTTTGACAGAAAAGATAGAAATTGATGAAAACCAGTGCGGATAAAAATGGAAAGGCTTAAATGTGTTTTTAGTCCCTCAAATTTAAGACAAATTTGTTTTTAGTCCCTCAAATTTAAAATTGTTATTTTTAGTTCCTGTAATTTTCAAAAATTTTATTTTAGTCCCTTAGGTCATCAATAACATATTTGAAAGTCACTAATTAATATAGTTATGCAATATCAACCGGATTTAATGTGATATTTTCACTAATAAGGACACTAATAGGTAGATTTTATGCAATAATGTTTGATAAATTTCTTAACAAAATTTGAATATAAGGACTAAAATAAGATTTTTTGAAATTACAGGGACTAAAATCAATAATTTTAAATTTGAAAGACCAAAAACAAATTTATCCTAAATTTGAGGGACTAAAAACATATTTAAGCCAAATGGAAAAGATGAACATAAAATGTGAGTAATAAAGTAAAAGTAATGATGTTCAAGAGAAATAAAAAGAAATAGGAAAAGATAAATAGAGTGAAAATAACTAATGACCACATCTTTTTGTTTCTCTCTTACCTCATTTTTTCCTCTACGGAACACTTTTTTTATGATTTATTTTTCTCTCTGCCTTATTTCTCCTTCACCAAATAAGGAACTAGGTTGTAAATTGTTAACTTCCAACAAACAACTTAACCTAGTTTCACGTTATCATGATCTGCGGTTACAAGTAACTGTGTCACCTTATCCCTTGAATGACGAGGTGGAAACACAACGGGTAATTTCTCTAACTTCAGTTCTAACTTCGATATATATATATATGGGTACAAGTAACGTCTTGATTACATCAAAACTCTCAAACTTGAACGTCAAGACACACTCACTACTATCGTTCACATTTGGAGCAGACAATCTTGGACATAGGAAATTCTAGATGAAGGAAGGAAACCTTCCTCTTCCAACATGAACACCAACCATTGTCAGTAAATAATTTTCATGTATGAGTGAGTTTACATAATGACGGAAAAAACTATTTTAAGAGTTACTACTTAAAGTGCATAGTTAAAATTATGTAGTTTAAGTAAAGGGTGAATGTACTACATTTTACAAAATTTACTCTAGAAGTGATATATTTATGTGCAAAAATATACTAATACTGTCATTTACATTACTCTTAACATAGTAAGCCTCAGTTTAAACACAGCATGAGGTTAACATATCAAACAAAGGTGGCACTAGAGAGAACAATTACTTTTAACCATGCAAAAAATTAAAATTATTCTTAATCGTTATCGTTATATATATAATTACATTTGTTTAAACTGGTAATGATTTTTACTCGATTATAACGCTTTAACTCCAACGTCCTAGAATTCAGTAAATTTCCATGTCCACTACAAACCCATGTACTGGACATCATTATACTAATAAGCACAGCCAATAAATCATGTCTCAATTTATTTATATCTGAAATCAATAAAATCAATCAACATTGGAGCTTCAAACAAAGGCGCATTATTTAAAAATGAAAGATTTGTAAAACCCAATATCAATGGCTCGGACTGTTGAACACAAATGATACACAAATTATTTTTCATAAAGCCGAAACAGTCTGCAGCGATCAAGAGAATGTTGATAAATTATGCACTACAAAAATGAACAGTGAAGACTAACTTATAAATTTTACTCAATTTACTCGATTTCATCCAACACAACCGCTAAATATTAATTGCTTGGCACATGGTTTGTATTTTTGAAGATAATAGTCAGGTCTCGGGGCTTCCAACCCCTTTGGAAAAGATGAACATAAAATGTGAGTAATAAAGTAAAAGTAATGATGTTCAAGAGAAATAAAAAGAAATAGGAAAAGATAAATAGAGTGAAAATAACTAATGACCACATCTTTTTGTTTCTCTCTTACCTCATTTTTTCCTCTACGGAACACTTTTTTTATGATTTATTTTTCTCTCTGCCTTATTTCTCCTTCACCAAATAAGGAACTAGGTTGTAAATTGTTAACTTCCAACAAACAACTTAACCTAGTTTCACGTTATCATGATCTGCGGTTACAAGTAACTGTGTCACCTTATCCCTTGAATGACGAGGTGGAAACACAACGGGTAATTTCTCTAACTTCAGTTCTAACTTCGATATATATATATATGGGTACAAGTAACGTCTTGATTACATCAAAACTCTCAAACTTGAACGTCAAGACACACTCACTACTATCGTTCACATTTGGAGCAGACAATCTTGGACATAGGAAATTCTAGATGAAGGAAGGAAACCTTCCTCTTCCAACATGAACACCAACCATTGTCAGTAAATAATTTTCATGTATGAGTGAGTTTACATAATGACGGAAAAAACTATTTTAAGAGTTACTACTTAAAGTGCATAGTTAAAATTATGTAGTTTAAGTAAAGGGTGAATGTACTACATTTTACAAAATTTACTCTAGAAGTGATATATTTATGTGCAAAAATATACTAATACTGTCATTTACATTACTCTTAACATAGTAAGCCTCAGTTTAAACACAGCATGAGGTTAACATATCAAACAAAGGTGGCACTAGAGAGAACAATTACTTTTAACCATGCAAAAAATTAAAATTATTCTTAATCGTTATCGTTATATATATAATTACATTTGTTTAAACTGGTAATGATTTTTACTCGATTATAACGCTTTAACTCCAACGTCCTAGAATTCAGTAAATTTCCATGTCCACTACAAACCCATGTACTGGACATCATTATACTAATAAGCACAGCCAATAAATCATGTCTCAATTTATTTATATCTGAAATCAATAAAATCAATCAACATTGGAGCTTCAAACAAAGGCGCATTATTTAAAAATGAAAGATTTGTAAAACCCAATATCAATGGCTCGGACTGTTGAACACAAATGATACACAAATTATTTTTCATAAAGCCGAAACAGTCTGCAGCGATCAAGAGAATGTTGATAAATTATGCACTACAAAAATGAACAGTGAAGACTAACTTATAAATTTTACTCAATTTACTCGATTTCATCCAACACAACCGCTAAATATTAATTGCTTGGCACATGGTTTGTATTTTTGAAGATAATAGTCAGGTCTCGGGGCTTCCAACCCCTTTTGCAAATGTGTAGGCTAAAACTTGAATCTCAGCGCACGTACTAGCTCAGTACTTTTGATACCACACCTGCACCAACTGTTCTGCCACCTTCTCTCAAGGCAAATCTTTGTCCTGTAAAATCAATAGCAAGCAATAAAAGCAAAGTTGAGTCTTCTAGCATGAAGTGTACAATAACATTCAGCCATTGGATAGTTGTATCTATGTATGGTGGTTGAAAATTGAAATATACACAGAAATGACATTTTTTTCAATGAGTCGTACAGACCTGCTTCAAGTGGAACTGCTGAAATCAATTCAAACACGGCAGTAACATTGTCTCCAGGCATAACCATTTTAACATTTTCAGGCAACTCTACTTTTCCAGTGATATCAGCAGTCCTCAAGTAAAATTGAGGTCTATAGTTAGAGAAGAAAGCAGTGTGTCGCCCACCCTCATCCTTTGTGAGAACATATATTTCTGCCTCAAATTTCTTGTATGTTTTTATAGATCCAGGCTTGGCAATGACCTTTTCAATAGAAGGCAGGATTAGGAAAGTGATTTCTCGATTTTCGTAATTTGAATTCAGAACTATAAATTTTACTGAAACAAATACAGCTATAATGTCTTACAAAAAGTAAAGGCTTGATCTATGCGACTAACCTGACCACGTTGAATATCTTCACGCTTCAGACCACGGAGAAGAAGACCAACATTATCACCAGCCTAACAATGTATAAAGTCCATATTAGTTTAACATATGCTTTATGTAAATAGCCCTCGTATATGAAAGTAACAGCCACTTACTTGGCCTTGATCCAAAATCTTCTTGAACATCTCAACTCCAGTTACTGTTGTTTTCAGAGGACCACCCTACCAAGGAAAATTCAGTTTTAGGAACCACCACCACAAAGGAATTAACCAAAAACCTCTGATAGAGAAATATACTAATGTCCAT